AACAAAGACCCAATGTTCTGATTTCTTAAAGAAAGGAACACAAAATTACAGTGTGAAATAAAACATATTTTGTTCCTGTTTCTAATTTTAATTTTTAAAATTTAAAATTGAAAGAATGAATAAAATGCTAAATGTTTTAAATACTATAGAAAGATTTGAAGTTTCCTTGAAAGTGACAGCCAGGGATAGTCTCTTTTTGTGTCTGCAGAAATCAGGCTCTGACTGTATAAAATGCCATACCTTGAGTTAATGATGAATAAATATATTTTCTTTTAATGCAGAAATTGAGGCATAAGTCATAATTTATTGTAATATATTGTTTAAATGTTAAGTTGTGTTTGTAAGGTTGATATGATTTTTAGAAGCGCATGCATGTTAAATGGGTATGGTTTTTAAAAAGGTTTTGTAAGAAAAAGGCCTTTTATTCAGGTAGTATGGTAGTACCTCCTATAAGGTGACTCATCCGAACAATGCACAATTCTGTTGGTCATTTTAAATAGGGACCTTAATGTATTTACCTCTTAATTAAGGTACACACTATTTAAGGCATACTGAAAATCAGCTTTTCAAAAATAAGATAGAAGTAGAAAAATAAATAAAAATAGAAATACTCTTTCTTAGTAATCTTTCGAGATTTCAAAGGCAAATTTGTGCTCAGTGAAAGATAGTTTTGTGACAAAGGAACAATAAAATAAAAGGGTAATCCTTTTCTTGAAAACTGCTTTTCAGTTGGGAAAAAGCAAGTTGTGGTGGAATCAAACGTATATTTCACATTCATAGAATTCAAAATCCAGTGATTCTTGCTACAGTTCTCAGTAGATGAAAGAAACAGTATCAGCAAGTTGTGAAGCAATCCAAGTTAGGACCAATGGAAAAGAAAATATGGCGAGATGATTAGGCCACCTGCTGAAGAATAGGAATCGCAGAATGTGTTAAGAGTGAAAACCTCTATTATTATTAGCTATTGCTAGGACTGGGGAGCCAAAGAAGTGCAGTTTTGTACTTGTGTGTTATTTTGTTATGTGTTTGTATCATGTGTTATAGTATTACTCATGTACATGCGTTATTTATCATGGCTTCAAAAAGGAAAAGATAAGCATTAAAATAGATGGTTGATTAAATTTACCTCTTAATAACTGAAACAAATATGCAAAGTATAATGTTAGAATGACAGTAACAGAAACTGAGATGCTTAGTTTGAGAAATTTAGAGCAGACATTTCGTAAAAACCAAGTAAGTCATGAGCAAAAGAATAGAGTAGAAATAAAATTGCTTTGGATTACTAATATAAATGAACATTCCAAGAATGTAAAATTTAGAAAAACTGACACATGTGAAATTGATACATTAGTATTCTACTGGCTTTGTTCTGTAAGAGCAAACAATATTTCTGTAAGTAGAGTATTATTGCAAGAAAAGGAAAAAGAAGTTACAGAAAGTCTTGGACTACAGAACTCCAAAGCATTAATTGGTTGGTTAGACGAATTTAAGCAAAGACATAATATTACTTTTGAGACTATCTGTGGTAAAGAAAAATCAGTAGATGTGCAATATGTAACAGATGATATAAAAAAGTTAAATAAGTTTGTAAAGGACATGTGGCTAAAAACATCTACAGTGCAAATTAAACTGGATTGTTTTATCAAATCTTGCCAAATAAAACTCTATGCTTCAAAGGAGATAAGTGCTGTGGTGGTAAAAGCTCCAAGAATTTTCTCACTGTATTAATTTGTTGTAACATGGAATGAGAGTTTGAACAACCACTTGTAACTGGAAAGTCCAAAAAACTGAGATGCTTCAAACAGATCAGTCCATTGGTATCACAATAAAAAATCATGGATGATGCAAAGTATAATGTTAGAATGACAGTGCTGTTGATAAGACAGTGGAAAAAAAAAATCATTCTTTTATTTACTTATTCTTTTAGCCTTTCATGCATTAGCATTCTGTTACTGACAAAACTTCAAAAGTATATTCTAGGCTGGATAACTATATGTGGCATTGTGGTTAAAATTTTCTTTAATTCTCTCTCCTAAACTAGAAAGAGAGAAATTGTGGTGGAATTGTTTTGCAGAAGTTAAAACTTACAATTAAATGGTAACCTATTTTTATTCCTGTGGTTTGGTCAAATTTTTGGCATTTGAGCTTAATTTATTAAATAAATTTTAAAAAACAAACTAATTGTAAAGCAGTTTTAAATTATCATTAAGCATGCGAGTGTAAAATTTTAAATTAAGCAAAAAAGCAAAGGTGAAGGTCCGTCTTTTAAATGATCTTCCACAAAGACATCACTCCCTTTAGGCAAAGAGCACTCATGTGCTTTGCCAAATCAAAATTAACAAAATCTGAGACTTCAGCATGGCTAATCTTAACATTTTTCTTTCCTCGTTGTCCTCAGGATCACTGCAGTTTTTATTGTTCAAATCTATGCCATGAATGATTTCTTTATAACTTGGAAAATTTAGTTCACTGTTTTCATTAATTTATTTCAAAATGTCATCCTTTTATTTTTTTAAATATGCTTATGAATTATTTGTTAGTTAATGTTGCTTTCATTTTTAACACACGCAAACCACATTTTATGCCAGAATGTGCATTGGGAAGAGAGCGAATGACCCATTACTGATGAGAAAGCCTAAAAGTTAAACCACTGATAAAATTCATGAATGTTACCAATTTTTGCTGTACTTTTTTCTGGTATTTACACATTAACATGACCACCTTGGCATTATTTGGCAATTTTTTACAGATGAAAAGGAAAATGTTACTTATCGAGTGCAAGTGGGGGATTTCCATGACCTTTTTTTTTAGAAAGCTTTTCAAACTATTGATATTTATTGTAAATCAGTAAATATTATCGACATATGAAAATAAAGCATACTTTAGCAATTTAAAATACAAATTTGAATTATTAAACAATGATTATGCATTAAAAAAATTAAGCACATTTTTCTTGAAATCTTTCTGTATTTTTTTTTGCACTATTCTTCTCCTAAAGTACACAGCAATCTGTTTTTGCTTAAAAAAATCCAAGTATTGCGGAGACTTGGCTTCATGCAAACCTCAGCAACAGCGGCTATTGAAAAAACCCATTTCCTCGTTGTTACCTTTAGAAAAATTTCACCAAAATTCTGTATTCTTGCAGAAGCTAAAAAAAAATAGTTTGAAAAGCTAATTTCTCCCATTGCTGACAAATTTCACAAGCTCATATTTTAAAACTAACTTAAAAGTAAAAAATATCACAATTTGTTTATTAAATTAAAAACTGTTGGAACTTGAGATACAAAAGAGAACACACATGAAAATGAAGGCATTGCTTAACTGAATGACTAGTATGTGCATGGTTGTCAGAGTTTACACACTCAGGAAATTTGAACACTTCTAAAGTGGTTATGTTTATCAATATTTAATTAAATATTTTAAATTCTTTCTTCTTTTGCTAATTTCACTTTATAATTTTGTTAAACTTTAATGCTGAGAAAATCTTCAGGTAAGGAAGAAAAATTTTATTTATCGAAGTACTTTTAGGTAACTTTAAATTACATACTGATGTGTAGATAAACTTGGTAATAACCATTTATAGGTATAAAACAAAATTAAATAGTAATAGTTTTGATATCGAATCATTGTGATTGGTTAAATCATTTATGTAAGCACTTGCACTAGCAGGGTTATGTAATGTGGTATAGCATAGATTAATTTGGAAATGATGCAGTTGAGAGGGATTTAATATAAGCAGTTACTATTTTTTGAACAGAAGAGGGAAAGAGCTAAATAAAAAAGTAATGTTTAAGAATTGTTGCAAATTACAAGTAGAATTTTGATTTATGTATTTATTTATCTTGTATATAATTTTTACTTTTTGAAAAGAAAGCGTCCTTTATTAGGATTATTCAAAATGCATTGAGATTTTTCATAATAGCAGTATTAATCTAAAATTAAAATATGTATAATTTTATGTATTTGCTGCATGCTGAATTTTGCTTTCAGCTGGTGTAGGTGGTTTATCTTATGATGTTTTATATAAATTAAACCAATTATCTTATTATGTTGACTTTATTATAATCTATACTTATCTATCAGTGTGCAAACTGGTTAAAGTGCAGATTTCTTGTGTTTGAGAGAGAGCTTTTGGTGCTTTTTTTAACCTCCCACTTGCTTACATTATTTATCAGCTTTAGCTTTGACAAGCTGTATTTACTCTGCCAAATACTTAGGATGGATTCAAAACTTATTTAGGTGTATGCTAATTCCGTTTCACATTTTAATTTGACAGCATCTTGTTCTGCATTTTAACTGCTACAACTGCTACAAGTTGCAGAGATTTGTCAGTGTTTTATTTGGTACTCTTCTGTTATTGGGACTGGATTCAGAAATGCATGTATGTATTGTGTACATATATATATATATATGTATAGATGTATGTGTTCATGTATGTGTATACGCACATACATGCACACGTCATACATAGGCATATTTCTGAATCCGGTCCCCTTTTATTTTTTCAGTTATATGTAGTTGTTTAGTTGACATATTAATAAATATATCTTACTTTAAAACTTCAATTTGATTTGGCGTTATGGTAGTATAAAGGTAAAATGGAGTACAGTTCATTGTTTATCTTTAATAGTTTGGCTTTCAAGTGGTTTGGCCTTTTTAAAGTAATATAGAACCATACAAATTTTATTAAAATATAGAAATAAATTCCTATTTGAGAAAGGAATATATTTAAAGCTATTCCTTAAAATTTTCTTTTAAATGGAAAAATTGTATAAACTCCCCCTCCCCCTACTAATAAAAGAAACCAGCTCTCAGTTCACTTTTCACTTGAACCATAAGTAACTGTATGTCAAAGAGAAATCTTGTACTTTTATTTACATATTCTAGTGTTAAAAAATCTGATATGCATTTTTTTTTATAATAAAGATTAGTAGCTTTTGCAGTAAGTTTTGTATAGTTTCAAAAAGCTGTCATGCAGTTGCAAACTTTTTTTTCATTAGGCTACAGAATATCTTCCAGATATGTGCCTTGATTTTTCAAAACACTGTGCAAATCCTAGAAGAGAAACATTTTGAACATCAACTGAAAGCACGCAATTCCCGAAACTATTTAATTATGGAGCAAATTACAGTGGGTAAGAAATTGTCTAATATTCAGATTTATAAATTATTTTATTTTGTACAACTGACCTAAGAAATGCCTTTCGGAAAACTTTTGTATCTGAAATAGTCTTTTTCTTTATTTTGGTGTTCATTATATATAAACATGATTAAAATATATTAACCGAGTTACAAAGTGCAGTGGATGCAGTTTCAGAACCACTTCTAGTCACATTTGTGCCTTTCCAATAATGCTAAAATGATAAAATTTATGATAGAGAGATGTTTCCGCAGGACAACAAGCAAGAGCAGCTTAAGATTTTTTCTGAATGAATTGGTTTCAGTTCAGTTTATCCATATCAATTAAATGTTTCATCTATTTAAATATATTAAAAAAATATTAGTACAGTCAAAAGTCGTTAGTCCGGACTCGTCGGGACTTCGGCGATTCCGGATTTTCGATTTTTCCGGATTATAGATCATCAGTTTAAATCTGGTAAGATGGCATGCAGAAATTACAAAATTAAAAATATGAAACCATAATTTATGAAATAAAGAACAATTATGATCTAAAGGGTATCAAAATTTACAAAAAGAAAAAGCTTAATATTTATTTGTTTACTTTATTAAACATTTCTTTCAATGTCAATTGTTTAATTTGCTCCATTTCATGTGATAATACTTTCTCTTTAATTCTATTAAACAGACATAATTCCTTGTTTAGTTACGAAGTTCCGCTGTTTAAGTTCTATAATTGCTGTGTCGAGAGTACCGACTAATTTGTCAATCGAAATTTTTTCGTTTTCAGTTACCTTTGAGTCACTTTCTTCACTATCGGAGACGAATTATAATGACGAGGAACTTGATTTAAATCATATCAAAGACGGAGTACATCAAGATGAAATACTACACTTAGTAAGGAATTATAAGCCAAATAAAATAAAAACATCTGCCCTGAAGATAAGGATAGTGCTGACAGATCAACTTCCAATCCGTGGCGTGAAATTGATAAACAGATTTCGGATTTCAAAACATACTTTCGCTTTGCAGATACAAATTACATTTTAGTAAATATATATCGGAAATTCTATTTGACATAATCGAAAGTTCAAGCTTACTTTTATGAAATTGCTCTAACAGTCCGCAAAAAATAATAAGCCGGATCCAATTCAAAGATTAAGGAACAACGCAATCTGCAACATTAACTGAATTAAAATAATTTTTGCTTAGATTATACCGTCCGTTACACATTAAACGCGCATGCGCAAAAACATATTCGCCGTAAAGGTCTTATGCGCACTCGTAAACGCCTGTGCGCATGCGTGAACGCGACGCATGCGCAGAAAGTTTGCAGCTTTGAGGGCCGGATTATAGATCATTCTGGATTATGGGTGTCCGAATTAACTACTTTTGACTGTATAACCAAACTTATCGTAAACAAAAGACTCACTTGGCCTTTTTAATTAGTTTTAATGAACAAAACAATTAAGATAAAACATTACAATTAAGGGCATTATAATTATGCATTTAAGTTACAAAGTAAATCTCGAGGAAACAGCATGCTTAGTTCTTGACTCTAGTATACCGACTGAAAGCTATTGTCCTTTTTTTGGCCGGTGTTTCTTCCGGCGGCCGCTAGGTGACGCTTATTGAGCCATGGGCTTAGAGACTCCCCCTCTGGCTCGTACGACGTCTCGGCAAAGAGCCAGAAATAGGTTTCTTTGGACTGCAAATAGGATGTAACTTCACTCATACTCTGTCACCTGGTTCATAAGAAGCCTTTTGACGTCAACGACCATAATATTTTTTTTGCTTGTCATATTCTTCATTCAATTGGGATGATTCATCAGCAACATTGCATCAGAATGATTCCCTTCAAGCTTTATTGAATCAAGATGATTCATGGCACAGCATAGAATTAGGATGATTTATATAAAACTTCATAGAATGAAGATGATTCCCTCCATACTTCATTGAATCGAGATGATTCTTTTCAAACTTCTTTAAATCAGGATGGTTCATCAACAGCATAGAATTGGGATGATTCTCTTCAGACCTCATTGAATCAGGATGATTCATTCAAACATTTCTGAATCGGGATGATTCACTTCAAACTTTGTTGAATCGGGGCGATTCTTTTCAAACTTCATTGAATCTGATGATTCTTTTCAAATTTCATTGAATCAGGAGGATTCTTTTCATACTTTCATTGAATCAGAATGATTCATCAAACAGCATAGAATCAGGATGATTCTCTTCATACTTCATGGAATCGGTATGATTCACTCAAAATTCCATATAATCAGGAGGATTCTCTTCACACTTTACTGAATTGGGATGATTCTTTCCAAAACCCCATAGAATCAGAATGATTCTTTTCATACTTCTTGGAATCGGGATGATTCACTTGCAACTTCATTGAATTGGGATGATTCCTCACACGGCATATAATCAGGATGATTCTCCTCATACTTCATTGAATCGGGATGATTCTTTTCAAACTTCTTTAAATCAGGATGGTTCATCAACAGCATAGAATTGGGATGATTCTCTTCAGACCTCATTGAATCAGGATGATTCATTCAAACATTTCTGTATCGGGATGATTCACTTCAAACTTTGTTGAATCGGGGCGATTCTTTTCAAACTTCATTGAATCTGATGATTCTTTTCAAATTTCATTGAATCAGGAGGATTCTTTTCATACTTTCATTGAATCAGAATGATTCATCAAACAGCATAGAATCAGGATTATTCTCTTCATACTTCATGGAATCGGTATGATTCACTCAAAATTCCATATAATCAGGATGATTCTCTTCACACTTTACTGAATTGGGATGATTCTTTCCAAAACCCCATAGAATCAGGATGATTCTCTTCATACTTCTTGGAATCGGGATGATTCACTTGCAACTTCATTGAATTGGGATGTTTCCTCACACGGCATATAATCAGAATGATTCTCCTCGTACTTCATGGAATCGGGATGATTCACTCAAAACTTCAGAGAATCGTTCACTTGAAACTTCATTGAATCAGGATGATTCATTCAACAGCCCAGAATCAGGATGATTCTTTTCAAACCTTTAATGAATTTGGATGATTCATTCAACAATACAGAATCGGATGATTCATTCAACAATACAGATTCAGGATGATTCTCTTCATACTTTACTGAATTGGGATGATTCATTCAACAGTATAGAATCAGGATGATTCTAAAAAAGTTCACTACATGGGGTTGGCTCTCCCCCTGGTTCGACGCAATTCTCTTGAATTTTTGCAATAAGCGATTTAGTTGAGTACGCCGTTTTGTAGGCAGATGTTTACCTTCGTCACTTTGAAGATTCACTAAAGTGGATGTTTCAAAACTTAAGCTTAATTGGAAACTTATAGAATTTTTGTCTACGTGTGTAGTTAGCTCTTTGAGTTGAATCACTTTCAAATTATCTGAGAATGGCACAACCAGTTCTGTGACTAACACTTGTACATGCTTTTTTCTGGTTAGTCCCTAAAATTCACATTATTGTACTTTCAATGTCTGTTGAAAAGTTCAATATTTGTTTGAAGAAAAATTATATATTTAGAAATTTCATGAATTTCTTAATTACCCTTAACAATTATATAATATTTGAAAAACAACATCGAACAAAATCATTAACTTTGTAATGATTACTTTGTAAACGAAACTAACATTTTACAAAGATTGCTACACTTGCCAATGGACAATAAAATGCACAAATTTAGTAAACATAAAATCCCCGAAAATAGAATTTAACTTTGATGAATGTTCTACAGTCAAAAGTCGTTAATCCGGACTCGTCGGGACTTCGGCGATTCCGGATTATCGATTTTTCCAGATTTATAGATCATCAGTTTAAATCTGGTAAGATGGCATGCAGAAATTACAAAATTAAAAATATGAAACCGTAATTTATGAAATAAAGAACAATTATGATCTAAAGGGTATCAAAATTTACAAAAAGAAAAAGCTTAATATTTATTTGTTTACTTTATTAAACATTTCCTTCAATGTAAGTTGCTTCGTTTCATGTAATAACACTTTCTCTTTAATTCTATTAAACAGACATAATTTCTTGTTTAGTTACAAAGTTCCGCTGTTCAAGTCCTATAATTGCTGTGTTGAGAATACCGACTAATTTGTCAATCGAAATGTTTTTGTTTTCAATAACCTCTGGGTCACTTTCTTCACTATCGGAAGGGAATTATAATGAGGAGGAACTTGATTTAAATCATATCAAAGACGGAGTATATCGAGATGATGAAAATACTACTTAGTACCGAATTATAAACCAAATAAAATAAAAACATCTGCTCTGAAGATAAGGATAGTGCTGACAGATCAACTTCCAATCCGCAGCGTGAAATTGATAAACAGATTTCGGATTTCAAAACATACTTTCGCTTTGTAGATACAAATTACCTAATAGTAAATATATATCGGAAATTCTATTTGACATAATCTTTCTAATCTATCATAATCTAATAATGATGTTTCTGCCCCCCCCTCTACTGCAGAGCAGCGTGAAATTGATAAACAGATTTCGGATTTCAAAACATACTTTCGCTTTGTAGTAAATATATATCGGAAATTCTATTTGACATAATCGAAAGTTCAAGCTTACTTTTATAAAATTGCTCTAACAGTCTGCAAAAAATAATAAGCCGGATCCAATTCGAAGATTAAGGAACAACGCTATCTGCAACATTAACTGAATTAGATAACTTTAGCTTAGCGTATAATTCCGTTACACATTAAACGCACATGCGCACAAACATATTCGCAGTTGTAAGGGTCTTATGCGCTCTTGTAAACGCCTGTGCGCATGCGTGAACGCGACGCATGCGCAGAAAGTTTGTAGCTTTGAGGTCCGGATTATGGGTGTCCGAATTAACGACTTTTGACTGTATTAGTAATGCCTATGATGTCTACCAAATTCTAAGTGCTTTAAGAAATTAATTTTCGTCTATAGTTTTCTTTGGAAAACACAATTAGATGTATAAGTTGCTC